GCCTTTTCATCTCTGCCTAAACAAGAAAGACATAAAATCAGCCACTGTGGTTCTTACTGTGTCCACAGTTTATCTAAGCTATAAAGATACATTTCTGATTCTGCTACTGAACTTTTGACTTTTTGCTTTTTGAGACTACAAGACTATGGAAAAAAAACAAACATAGACAGTGTTGACAGTGTTTGTATGTTTCAAAAAATGCTTTACAGACCCACCTGCCAGGTTGTTTACACACCCCATCTCTCGTGGTTTCTAGCATCAAACATGCAGGTATCTTTGTCAGGCCAGAGCTTGATTGATGGTTTACTTTTGTGTGTGTTGTATTTAAAAAAATTTAAAAAGCTTATTTTAATTTTAATTTTCAGAGAGAGACGAGGAGAGAAAGATGGCAAATGTCAACAAAGGTCCCCACCAGGACTCAAACCAGGGCTGTTTAATTACTGTACTGATCAGTTTGTATTTAAATACCAATTACTGTATATAAAAATGTGATGTTTTGTACACTAAAGCATTTTAGTAGGCATGTTTTAATCACATAAAACTTGAATGTGCTATAGAGATTTTGTATAGGTCTGGTGTTTTGCTCGGGCAACACTAGTAGTTACTACAATCATTACTCACATCAAAAATTACAAGATTACATTAAACAAGGCAAAACTGGAATCAACAGCAACAGGTGCATATCACATATTTAACACCCAGTACAAAGGAAAAAGCAGCAGGGACAAATGGACAATGAGAGGCCACTGGAAAATAGTACTCACAACATATGTAGCAGCATAAATATTGACAGAATGCTGTCACCATCCACCATCATACTCACTATTCACTATCACTACACAGGATTGCTCATATTCATATTCATATTGAACCCAGTGTCAGGAAATTAGAGCTCTAAATATCTGCATCTGACAACATTTTGATTTCTAAAGAAGAAGCATGTTGCATCTCCAGCATCAACACTGTCAAATGGACCTGGATTAGAGGCTGGATTGTTTTAAGTCCTCTCTCAAATACACAGCTGCTGCTTTTTCTCAGGCAGACATCAAGTATGATTGACTTGATACCACTGGTGCTAATGTGTGTGAGGCCATGTTAATTTGCAGTTCATTCCCTCTGGGATTCCTAAGCTCTCCTATGATAGATCTGTGAATCTGTCTGCCCGTCGGAATACAACACTTTAATACCCGGCACGCCGCAGAGAGGCTGCTGCATAACGAACCTGTCACTCACTCCCCAGCAAATGCTGGACTGTGTATGTCTGTGTGTGTGTGTGTGATAAGTTTAGATCGTCTGTTTCCAGATATCCAGCTGGGTGAGAGACACCTGAACACAACTGATGAGAAATATTTGTCTGTGTTCTGTCAAGACATTCTATCTCCATGTTTGGTTATTAACATTTTCAGACGGATGGACATTTACATCGGGTTTATGCACACTCTTAGTTTTATAAAAGCTTTCTTTGTTCATGAAAAGATGATACATTGGAGATAAATGTTTTCCCAGTAAATTGAAACTAAAAGTTTGCTCAGAATCTTTTCACTTTAAAAGTTGGGTGGGCGACTATGTGAAAATAAGTCAATTGGAATAAGTTTTTCTTGACTTTTTGGGATTATGTATAATACCTGACCTGAGCAGCTGTAAAAGGACAGCATTCTCTTCACTAGAATAAGTTCTGTTTGTCATGGGGCTCACATACAAGGGTTTCCTTTACAATTCAATGGTTTAACGGGTCCTGACTGGTGATCTAACACCAAGTGTGAAAGGATGGCACCCTTTTTAAAGTTCAAGTCACACTTTGACACCATGGTTCAGCTGGTTGTCTCGCTGGGAGTGATTCTTTCATGACAGCTGTTGATGGACAATAACCTGTGTTTTGTTTCTCCCTGGTGTGTATTTGCATGTGTGTTTGTAGCTGCAGCAGTGGCGGGCCCAGCAGGAGGAGGTGGCGAAGCTGGAGGCAGCTATAGCTGCTAGACAGCAGGAGGAGGAAGAGGCGAGGTTAAAGAGGGAGCAGGAGAAGGAGACTGCCATCAGATCGCAGCAGAAAGAAAAAGTAAACATAAAAAATACATGTGTCAGGGTTACACACAGCTTTTGTAAAAACACGCGTTATAATCAAACCAAGTTGAATTAAAGCATTATTGCATAAGATATCTCCATAAACAGGTATATTAGTAAATATTATCTCAAGATGATAGATGGTATGTTTTATCCTTTGCTCAACTCCATATATTGTGTGCATAACTTATTACCCTGTGTGTAAAAATGTATTACCTTGAGAGGAAAAACAAGGTTATTTACTATAAATGCATATGATTCTTTATCATGCAGTTAGCCCACTTAAGATGCGCGCAGCTACCTCTTAATGGAGAGAAACACAGGACTGTCCTCAGCAGGAATGATCTGCTGTATATTTTAGTGGACAATAGGTATAGATGGGTTAGGGTTAGATTGATGTTCACAGTGTGCTGAGAAAATTGCCTCAAAAATAAATAAAATAAGTAAGAGACATATTAGCTCAGCTGGATCCCAAGCATTGGCCACACAAATAGCAATGATTTCACCGAAAAGAAAGTACTTCTCAAAAGCACCTATTTATATGTGGCACGTCAGCTCTTGCTAAAACCCTTTGGTGTGTGTACGAATAAGTGTATGAATGCCTTCTCACAGAAAATGATATGGCTGAATCCCTATATAGCACTGCAAGTTGGTGTGGGCTATTTTATAGAACCACTGGAAATACTATGTAGCTCTCCGTAAGTTGTGAACACTTAAATAACTTGTTTGCATTAGATAAATAAAAACATATTATCCTTTGGGACATCAGAAGCTCTGTATTAAATGAAACCATATTATCATACCACATCATAAGATTTCCAATATATGGCATCCGTTTGAAAAAATTACACTAGCTTCCAGCTGTTTACCATTTGTGGATACACTGTTTGAAGGATTTAATTGTGAGCACACATGAAGATCAAATTGAAAGCATATGTTGTTACATGTATCTGGGTATTTTGATCATTCAATTTAGTTATTGTCCTCACAGGTGCAACAATACCAGAATGTGTGCGTGCGTCTGACTGTTTAATTAACTCTCTCCTCAGGGGTCTGCTAGGAGAGCATGGGCAACCTGAGACACTCTGATTAATGAGAGTATTTAGGCTGCATTGGATTCCATATAATTTAGTACAATGGTCCGCCAGACATTGAAATATCATCTCATTCTCTCTATTTACACTTATCTGATTCCCGCTCTGTCACAATCGATAGGACATGACGATCCTAAGAGAGTCAAATTAGTAGGAGTGTGGCTACCGTTCTTGTGGCTGTTGTTAACTTCTTGTTGATATTCTTTGTAAACTGTTATTTTCCCCCAGGTCAGGCAGTTTTATTTAAAGCAGCAGAAGAGGAGGGAGGTGCAAGGGCAGAGGGATCAAGAAAGACTCGCTAATCTGAGAAGCATCATGGAGGAACAGGCAAGGCGAGATAAAGAGAGGTAAGTTTTTTTTGTCAAAATATGTGTCACTAGAAACTGAATTTGAATCATTTATATTTGAATTTGAATTGCTAATATTGAATAATTGCATTAAAAAATGAATTTGAATCACATAATTGCCCGCTGATGACTTGGCATCAGTAGCTTATGCCAAGCTAGCAAGCAAACCTAAAGCTTGATCTTACTCTTTGCAATTGTAACCGCTGTCATCAATGGGCCATGTATTATAGACAGTTTAAGGTCTGGTATAATGTAAAATAATCTTATCCAAGTAACAGAACTCTAATTTATTTGTTCACATGTAATTTTAAACTTACGGTGAACAACACTCTATAAAAACTTTGTTGTCTTGCCATGTCTCATTGGACTGAATTTGATTTGAGTTAAATTTTTCAGTGAGGATCAAATACATTTTCCGAGCAACTGAATTCAATTCCATTCAGTTTCAAGTTTACTGAAATTCAGTTCCAAATTATTAAATTCAATTTCAAATTATGCTATTCAGATTCAGTTTTTCAATGCAAGGATTCAAGTTAACAATACAAATTCAAATGATGTGATTCAAAATTCATTTTTTTATGCAATTATTCAAGTTGAGAAATTCTAATTCATAATATAAATTATTCAAATTTACTTTATTGTCACATATTTCTGCCCATAGATAAGTGTTGCACCATGGGACCTTGAGAGATCCTAAAACAGAATCCAGAACCCTATACATTATTGCCCATTATCAAGCATGACATGACATGCATTTACCTTTTTGCTGATGGGCTTTCAACCGCTTACAACCACAGATATACTGCAATTACATATTTATGTTTTTATTAGTATACCCAGTATCAAGCCTAAGTTACTCTTGTTATATCAGTTATTTATTGTCATTCAACCATGTAAAACATGAAGGAATGAAATGAAGTCCAGCAGCGTACAGAATAAATAACAACTTAAGATAAGCCCTATAAAAAAACATTTAAATAATCATCAGCTATAATAAACACATAATATGACTATAAGCTATGTTACAATCATTAACATGGAACCCCACGGTATAGGGCTAAACAATTAATGAAAATATGATCAAGACTGCACTGCATGTCCAAGTGCAATATCCAAATTAATTGTCTGAGACCAAGCAGGGAGGGTCTAATAAAAAGATGCAATAGTTGCATTTTGAGAAGTATAGGATTGAGTATATTTGGAGGTTACCCGTACTTTCAATTCCAGACAGACTAGGGGAGACTAAGGGAGACTGATAAACAGAACATTGTGTTGTGACAGATCATGAGACATGATCCACGAGACATCTAGAATATTTCCATCTGATGGTATGGTCACTCACTGTAAACATCATATAACTTCAATCAAAAGCAAGAACAAGCTTATACACAATACACAGTGTATGTGAAGATGTCAAAAAGTGTGGAATGAGATGATTTAACAAAGTGAGAGCTATTTAAAGTGGAAATAAAAGAGGAAGGTTATATGCTAAGAAGTTTACTTCTGTATTTGTGGAATCCAGATTTACTCAACTTAACAGCAGCTGAAAATCTTGTGTGGTTTGACTTCTCACCTTGCTACAGTGACGTGAACATGTACTCCAGAGAGTCAGTACATTACTATTGGGCGTGGTTAAAGGTGCAATACATTTAAGCCGTTCGACCAGGTAGGGGAGTGAAACGCTGTTTTTTTAGCATGGTGTTAAGTTACTCTTGAAAGATAGAGGATTCTGCATTTAAAACATATTCTGTTTGGTGTGATTTGCTTAGCATTTCTATGGAGACACTCACAGAGACTGATGTTAATACCAGATAATGGTGTTGATGGGTTTGGCCGTGTGAATCAACTGGATCAGGAATGAGAATAGGGGGGCTGAGAAAGAGATAAAAACAGATGATAGGAGAGGAGCCGCACTCTGGCAGCTTCATAAAACCCACCACAGCCCAGAGGCCAGCTATGTCAGAAGTGATAGGTAATGTTGGCCATGGCTGAGGCAGAGGAAGAGAAGCTGTATAGGTCTGATGTCCACACTCTCTCTGCTCCCTCTAGGGTACAGTTTCGGGCAGATATGTTGCAGTGGCGAAGGGAGGAGAGAGAGGCGCGGGAGCTTGAGCGGCAGAGAGAAGAAGAAGAGAAACAGAATCGTCTGGAAGTTCTCAGAAACCAGGTGGATCATTATCTGCTCTGAACCCTTTCAACCACTGTGATTTACTCTGTCAGTTGGAAAGACCCACAAGGGAAGACTTGGACTCATCCTTATCTAAGTCAAGGCATCACTGCCACCTCATGGCAGTAAGTATGAAGACAACCATATGTTATCACTATATAAAATGTTTTTTTCCTCTATTCATCTTAGGTTGGGGTGGTGGCAGAGGCAGACCCAGAGAGGATGATGGCAGATACAGAGGCTTGGAGAAGTCGACACTTGAATGTAAAGTTTGAGTTTGAGCTCCAAAGGCCTCTCTACAGTATTAACACGTACACAGACACACAGGTGAGGCAAGATAACATATACTCTAATTTAACCTTTAGTTTTGTATGATTATGAAAACACTGCATGGCCGTATCTATGTTGTACATATTATGAGCCAACAAGGCCTCTTTCTCCAGTTTCCTTGATGTTCAGTTTCATTTTTCATCATCACGCATAGACCAGTAAACCGAAATGTGCACATCCCACACAGCAATCATAGTAATCTTATAAGGATTAGGACAACTGCACCAACTCCAGCACCCAGAACAAACTCATTTAAAATGGCTTTCTTCAATGTGAGATCTCTGTCAAGTAAGACTTTTATCTTAAATGATTTTATCTTGTCTGCAAATCTAGATTTTATGCTTTTAACTGAATCATGGTTGTAAATGAATGACTATAGCCAGCTAGCTGAACTGTGTCCGCCTCAGTATGATGTTTTAGTCAACGAGGGTCAGTGGTCATGGTGGAGGCCTAGTGAGCGTGTATAGGAAAAATTTTAAATGTCATCAAGTACGCTGTGATGAATTTAACTCCTTTGAAGTTCTCACTCTTGAACTTGGAGGGTTGCAACCTATCATACTTGTTATAATTTATCGCCCCCAAAACTGCCTGGAGGATTTTTATCAGAGCTTCCTGAATTTTTAGCTACTCTGGTTTTAAATTATGATAGAATTGTTCTTTGTGGGGATTTTAATATTCATGTTGATGACCCCACCAATGTTAATGCAACTGACTTTTTAAATATGGCCACTTCTTTTAACTTCAAGCAACATGTCAAAGGGCAAACACATAACCGTGGTCATACATTGGACTTGGTTTTTACCCTGGGTGTCAGCATTTCCTCTGTGGAATTAATGGACATGACCATATCTGACCACAGATGTATTGTTTTTAGCTGTGATTGGCCGGTTACTCATGCCGCCTCACCAAGCTCCGTGTTTCAAAGTTTTGCGCATTCTTTCATAGCCAAGCCAACACCTGTCTGATTCCAACACCAACAATCTGGTTGATCATATCAATAATATCAGCTTGTCGTCACTAAATATTACTGCTCCTCTAAAGGTTAGGCCTACGTCTAAAGCTAGTAAGCAACCCTGGATAAATGACAGCATTCGCAGCCTAAAAAGGGAATGCAGGAAAGCAGAGCGCAGATAGAAAAATCCAGTCTCCAAGTCCATTACCTCAGTCTGAAGGATTTATTAATTAACTACAATAACATGGTTAAGGATGCGAGAACTATTTTTCTGAACTCATTACTACATAAACACAATCCCAGGTTTCTGTTTAAGACTGTGGATCAGCTGGTAAACCCAACCCCTCCTTGTGCCTCAGCTGGAAGTAATGATGACTGTGAATTGTTTTTATCTTATTTTACCAATAAGGTGGTGTCAATCAGAGCCTCTATTATCCCCGCGGCCTCTTACTCAGAGGTCCCTCACCAGCAACAAGAGAGTTTTAACCAGTTTTATCCCATTGACTTGTCTGAGCTTTTAAAAACAGTATCACAAATGAGAGTGTCCTCCAGCCCACTTGATATAATACCTACAAATTTTTACTGAAAGTAATGGATTCTGTTGGGCCCCATTTGATCTCTGTTTTTAACAGCTCCCTATCTACTGGTTGTGTCCCTGATTATTTTAAAACGGCTTGCGTGAACCCACTTTTAAAGAAACCTGGTTTAGATCCCTCCCTCCTACAAAATTTTAGACAAATTTCAAAACTGCCTTTTATTGCAAAGATTCTAGAAAGAATTGTGTCCAAACAGCTGCTCACTGTGCTGGAAAATAACAAAATATTTGAAAAGTTTCAGTCTGGTTTCAGAAAGTACCACAGCACTGAGACTGCCCTGCTTAAAGTCACCAATGACCTTTTAATGTCTGCTGATGAAGGCATGTGCTCAGTCCTGGTACTCCTGGACCTTAGCGCTGCTTTTGACACCATTGATCACAACATCATGTTAGACAGACTGAGGCACTGGGTGGGGATCTCTGGTACGGCCCTAGAATGGTTTTCATCCTACCTGTCAAATAGGAAGTTTTGCGTGTCTGTAAACAACTATGTCTCTTCGTTCTGTCCAGTTAATTATGGTGTGCCTCAGAGGTTGGTCTTAGGACCCATTTTGTTTTCCTTGTATCTGCTTCCCCTTGCACATATTATCCATAAACATGCCATTTCTTTTCATATTTATGCTGATAACACACAAATGTACTTGCCTGTCAGATCCACAGACCCTGGAATGCTGAGTTCACTTAACAACTGCCTTTGTGAAGTTAAAAAATGGATGTCAAATAATTTCCTCCAGCTGAACTCAGACAAAACAGAAATCCTGGTCATCGGGTCCCAGCAGATGGCAGTTTTGCCATCTGCTGTTCCCTAGTAAATCACATTAAACCTTGGTGTTTGGTTTGATAGTAATTTAAATTTCGAGCAGCACACCACAAAGCTTGTTCAATCATGTTTTTATCAACTTAGAAATATAGCAAAAATTCGATCTATGTTAACTTTTAACAGCCTTTTCACTTGTTTAACCCAAAAATCTACTGATCGACTCCAGACTGTCCAGAACTCAGCTGCCAGGCTTTTAACCAGAACAAAGAAATATGACCACTTCACCCCTATTTTGCTTCATTACAGAGGCTCCCAGTATGTTTTAGAATTGACTTTAAAATTTTATTGATCACTTTTAAAGCTCTTCATGGCCTCTCGCCTTGTTATATTTCTGACCTTTTAGTCCCATACGCACCAGCACGTACCTTGAGATCCTCGGGCAGAGGTCTGTTGTCTGTTCCAGAGTCTCGACTGAAAACTAAAGGGGACAGAGCGTTTGCTGTCAGGGCCCCGAGGCTCTGGAACAGCCTGCCCGAGGAAATCAGGTCGGCTGAGTCAGTGAACTCTTTTAAGTCCCTTCTTAAAACATACTTTTATAGGAGAGCCTTTCCCGATCTTATTTGACTTTATTTTATCCCTTTTATTTTATTCTATTTTACTTATTTTATATTTATCTTAAACGTGTATTTTAGTCTTTTCAATGTTTTCTTTCTTTTATCTTGTATTGTTTTTGTATTATTGTCTTTTGGGTATTATTGTCTTTACACTTGTTAAAGCACTTTGTAACTTGTTTTTGAAAAGTGCTCTACAAATAAAGATTATTATTATTATTATTTTGGTGAAACTGATCAGTGACCCATGCAGGTGAGGAAAATTATGCAACCTGGGTCACTGGTCAAACAATATTTGTCCTCATCTCAGATAACTTTGTGTACAGCCTTGATCTCAAGGCCACCCAGTCAATAAGTGGACTGTAGAGAGTGTGTGTGTGTGTGTGTGTGTGTGTGTGTGTGTGTGTGTGTGTGTGTGTGTGTGTGTGTGTGTGTGTGTGTGTGTGTGTGTGTGTGTGTGTGTAACTTATGTTGTGGTGACATAAATCTGTTTACACAGTCACATTGTGGGAATTTGCCGTTGTTTTTGTGGACAAAATGTCACCATAATGTAAATCATTACATTTTAGTCCTGCAATGATGGAAACACAACTGTGTGTTTCTGTCATGACTGTAGAGAACAGGTTTGAATGTGGTTATTGTGTAACACAGGCAATGACTTCTCTTCTAATACCTAACCATGAAGGATTAGTAATTCATCTTGTTTCAGGTACTAAATGTGTAGTAAACAGTAAAAACAAACAACGGTAACATAAGTCAGTGTGATCTAAATAAAAAGCTGGAAATGTATTATTTACTGAGGGTAATTTCTTTCTTCTTTTACTATTTACAGATTGTATCTGATCCAAGAGTGCGGGTTGAGCAGGCTCTGCGGGAGGCTGGTCTGCACCACAGCCAGTATGCCCAAGAGGTTCTGTCTGTTATCAAGCCCCCTAAACCACCTAGACGAGATACCAAATCCACACTGAAATTCTGAACATCTGACCCCAAAAAGGGGGTTGTCACATTATTTAGATCTGCCAGCTCTTGTTCTGGTACTGAGCATTATATTAAATGTAATTTTTCTAAGCTGCATGTATAAGAATCATATGAAGTTGGACAGATTCTGCTGCTTGGTTGTCCAGCTTCTGTAGTCACAAACTCATATACAGTAGCTATAGTATTGACCACAAGTGACACAGTGCAATTACTATTAATGACTTTTATTGTAGGGTTAATAGTCTGCAGCATCTCCTGAGAAATACATCATATCATTCATTGTGTTTGAGCTCTGATAAACATGTACCTCCAACAAATGATAATGACCTCTCTGCACATTTATCACTATGTACTGACTGCCTATGCTACTTTCAGGAAGTTTTAATTTGCATAAACAAGCTTGTACGGCAGAAGCTACAAAATAGTAATGTATGTCTCTAATCATTTAATAACACATTCATCACTGAAATACATTGTTGGAAGATCCACTTCTTGATAGAGAGAGAAATCACTAAGGAATAATAAGTGCCTTGCATCTACCAAGCATATAAGAGGAAAAGCCTTTAAAACTAGACGCCACTAACAAACCTCCACTACTAGTGAATAATCTCCTGACTCGCTATTACACCCAAAGATTTTTAATCCCATAAACATTTGGAATCGTCTCTATTTCTGTTAGATTTGTAGTTATAGCTAAAATCAATATTGTCTATAAATCGCAGACTTGGATTGCCACCACAATATAATAATTTATTAATTTTCCGAAGGAAAAACATGAACATTTTTTGACAGGCAAACAAATTACCAGATGTTGTGGACTTGTTGTGGAAGTGTAAAGTTGATGATACAACTTACTGAGCAATTTTGCTGGGCAATCTTGCTGGTGGCAAGTCTGACAATGTTTTGAACGGATAGCTGTGGGGCAGGGCGGAGTGGTGGGGGAAGGGGATTATGCTAGTTATCTTTACTCATTACCATTGATGGCAACATTGCCCAGCACCAAAGTTGCTCCATGTATCATCAGCTTAAGTCAAATTTTAAAATCATACAGAACACATTTTTTTTTTGAAAATTAATGTTAACTTACATAAGTACCAGAGTATTAAATATTAAACTATGCAATACATACTACAAAGAAATCATATCATTTTGAACAACTTCTTAAATAAGTTTCTAATGCACATATTAACATGTTAAGTACAGTATATATACATATCCACATATCTGTCAAAGCTATATACACTCTATTTGGGAGACTGATGTTGGGATGGGGGATGCAAGGGTCTCAGATGATATGTCCCAGATGCTTCTTGATAAAGTGGGACACCAGGACTTGAGGTCTCTGCTGGTACTCCACCAGAACATCATGAGGGGAGGTGATCTGGTCCCCCTCAAAGCGGTTCAGCAATGTAACGCAGACTACAGCCGCTGGGGTGCAAAAAGAAAATATCAGTCATACAGTCATATATACAGTCTGTTTATGTACATGTTTTGATTTCACACTTGCTTTGGCAATGTACACATCTGTTTCCCATGCAAAAGAAGCCCCACTGAATTGAACTGAATTAAAATAGTAAATGCAACTGTTGGATATCATTGGGTCAAATTATAAATCTGAAGTGAGACACACTAAATGGATGATTGTATCTCCAAACCAGTCAATAAGCTGTGCCACTGTACAGAATGTCCTACATTTTGCAACAAGTACCTTTGAGGCCACAGACACGGCACATAGCAGCAAATACGGTGGACTCCATTTCAATATTCCTCACTCCGGCCTCGTAAGCTTTCCTCAGATACTCCAGTTTTTCCTCATGGGAGAAGGAGCAGAGAGCTCCATCAAGTCGGCCTTGACCTAGAGAGACACAGCACAGCATTTGTCACTCCCTGACCACTGGCTTTGACCTGTTCTGTGTTCTTCCCTGTACATCTCGTGTGGGACAAGGTGATGACAAATGATTTGATGTGATCACAAACAACCAGAGCGTGAGATGCTGTTTATACCTTCATAGAAGTCATGGGTGCACATGGTGTTTCCAATCACTGTGGGAAGGTTCTGAAGCTCAGAGGAGCACTGCAGAAGCTCGCTGGCCACTCCCTTGTCCAGCTCAGTGCTCCTGGTGATAACTTTACCCAGAACCACCTGCTCAAACTGGGGCGGAAGGAGTAGTCCACTGCTTTATCCGTGACCACCACAGTCCCTGGAGCCAGACCTAGAGACGACACCAGGCAGAAATTTAAATCAATTTAGTTTTAAAGTCAGGATAGAGGCGAATTATTTTCACTTTCAAAACCAAAAAGACAAAGTTCTCACCAACTCCACCAGATGTTCCAAGGCGAAACAGGACCACGTCACGGCACTGAGCATGGTGCAGCAGTTTGATGAGCTCATGCAGCATGATGGAGATAGAGGGGACACCCATGCCATGCTGTGATGCAAACAAGATCAGGATGGAAATTGGATGGAAAACAGTGACATTATTAAACCAGTAATATTTTAGGTACTTGCCTTTGGAAATCAAGCCTACTAGGACAGTTTATATCATTGTTCTGTAAAAAATGGTTATGTAATACTTACACTTATAGAGAGCACTGGTCCCACTTTATACATGCAGTAGCGATCAGTTCCCTCACAGATATCTCTGACTTCCTCTGGGTTTCCAGGCAGTTCCAGCTCCTGGTGGATGAACTGGGCAAAAGCCTTCATTCGATTCGCACTGCCACCAACACACACAAACTATGGGAAACAGAGAAGGACTAGTAAATTGTTTTTTTCTAGCTTTTGAAAATTTAAACCTCAAATTTGTTTTTTTTTATTTTAAATTAGCATTTCACAAACCTTAATATCTCCAAACATTTCTGGAAGGTTGTGAGTCTTGGTACTCAAGTTGAAGTGGTAGAGAATATCCTCCTCCATGGTGTCCAAGTAGGGATTTTTCACTTGCACATGTTGTCTAAGAGCAATATAGTACAGCATATTAATAAATGGACAGATTGCTTAAGTGAATCCTAAGAACTATGTATGTGTGCTAAGTGGATTAACACAATAAATGTTGATTTTTAGGAGCAACAAGAAGAAACAAGTCCATTCAAAGCTCAGCTGAGGTCCCCAAAAACTCACTTGATACATTCGTCGTGGTCATTCCCCATACAGTTAAGTAAAATCGGTGCCATGACTGCTGGAGATGCTTTGAAATCCAGTTTAAAATATAAAGTTGTTCTGCTGTAAAAACCTCCAAATACTCCTTGCTGCTGTTTTTGAATAAGTTACGTCTGACTGCAGAGCTAATATAGTGGTGACCTCTGGCCTTGCCACTGATTGGTTCCAGAGAGAGGAGTAGCACTTGCCCTCGCTCACGCAAAAACATCCACCAGCCAGAAAAGACAGCAAAATCAGTCATCAACATGATTGGTCAAAGCAAGAGTTATACCTTCAAAAAGAAAACCATAACAGTGGCGGTGAAAACAATGTTTGTGACGTAAACTGCTGTTATGACTGAACCTTGCAAAACCATGAGCAGTGTCTCAAACAATACCCAAGCCAGTGAATGGATAACGTGTTGTCAGAGAGCTTTTGCAAATAACAGAGATAACATCTGACATTGGTGTTCAAAGCAATGACACCCAGAACCAACTTAATGTACAACCAACAGAAATGCTGATGGTTCAGTCAAGTCAACTACATAAAATTATACATGGCATCATTTGCTCAAAGAGTAATCTTACAATTTTTCATGTGTCTCAGAAAATGGGCCATCATTTGCTATAATATCACGGTATTATGTGGCAAATTATTCACAATAAAAAGTCAGCCTGTGGGAGCAAATGTAAAAGTAAAAAAAGATTGTGAAATATTTTTGAATAACTTTGATTTTATTTGACTTTTATTCCTTAAAGCTGCCTTTTACAGAGTTACAGACACAGCAAAAAAAACTTAACACTAGAGCAACAAGTGCCTTCTTTTCTCAAGGAACGCAGTTTATGAGGCACCGCTAGCAGGCACCATAAATAAAAAGTCCTGGCTTTAATTCAATGAAGCACTTTCACACTTGAGTAATACATCTGACATGAAAAAACAATTGGAACTGAGTACAACGTCTGATGTGGCTCAGCATGAAGGGACAAAGAAATGAATGAGGAGGGGATGGCAACTATTCCTGCTGGAAGAATTTGATCCTTTCCCACGGACTGGCAGTCTGCTAATCTGTTGACATGGAAATGTATACGAGCATGAGTCATTCGCCTAATCATTATCACATACTAATAATCTCTACATTATACTGCCAAGAGGCATCATAAATTCTTAACGGCTGAAATCTTAATGTTTTACACCTCAAATTTTGTGACCATCTTTTCATTATGTACTATATATACATAGAATCAATACACTGCTGGACAGCTTGGCTACATTTCCTTTTATAATAATAGAGGTGAATTTTGATAGTGTCATGAAAAAGCAAGAAAGTAAATGATTTATGGTGACCTGGAAGACTGCAACTCAAACTATCAGCAACAATGAGATACTTACTTGACAGCAAGCGTTGGCTATTGGTTGTCTTCGGCATAACCAAAGCTCAACAGCTTAGACATGTCGATGGGAGCTGGTTTCTTGTCAAACATTCTGTGAAAACAACAAAAGCACAAAGTACAAATTTGATGGAAAGCTTTGTCATGGAAATCTAACCAGATGATGCTTTTATAGTTACAAATTAATTTAATGTTTTGTCATGGCCACAGTTGCCTATTAGATTTTCCAGAGAGGTAAACATTAAAAATGATCCCTACCCCTCCAACATTTTACACCAAGACAAACTCTGGCTACTCATTACAAACGTAGTCAACCAACAAAGCGCACAGAGTCATTGGTATTTAAAATAGTCAGTTTTCTCTTCATTTTATATGAAACACCAACGCTACTAAACTATCTATTTAAACAAGTAATTTAATGTCAGATTTAGACTTCTTGTTCTTCTTGAATCCAATACCTGATCGCTGCACTGCAATTACTTGTTGATGTACAGTATGTCCCGTACAGCGTTGTATCTGAGGTTCTTTTGGGTTTTTGACAAATCATTGACACTACAGTGAACACACAGCACAGATCAGCAGTGAGCCAAAGCAAACAGGTTAATGTCCATATGTCTAGACACCATTGCTCTGTGTACTGCTTAATTTGACCTAGTGTTCAGCCTGACATTTCTGCTTAGTCATCACAATATGGAAACATTTGGTGTCCCTAATGTGCAGACTGTGTCAGCCATATGTGTTATGTCTTATAATGCTAATTAACTACGCAATTTAACTGATGGGGAAGCCATATCATTTTGAACTCCTGTAGAGTATGCAATTTCTTACAGTCATCATAGCAAACAACACTTAAAAATAAGTTACAGAATTAAAGTCAGTCTTAAAACAATAGTCAGATGCCTATGTGTATATTGAAATAAGTTTTGCTTGTTGTAATCTTTCCTGCTGATCATACTAGTATTAATAGATCCCTTTTAATTATGCAACCTAAATATTATAGCGCAGTGATGTGCTATAGTTTTAACACAGCCATACCGTCACTTTAGTCCTGCTAGTGTTCACAGCTAACAGCTGATGAGAGTTGTTCTGGGTCCTCTCCACTTCAGTGTCCTGACAGGGTTCTACCGGGAGCTGAATTAACTCCAAGGTAGTCTCCTCTCCAAAACAAACGGACCCAGTCATTAAAACATTAAAATACAGCCACATAGCAACGTTAGCGTTAGCCTTGTGGTGTGTTTATAGCTATGAGCTGATCCGGGTCCGCCAGAGAACGCGCTGTTTGCGATGCGTGTTTTTTCTAGGCATTACGTTAACATTGTGTCGCAGCACATTTCAAAATAAAAGTGAGCTTCTGCTGAACATAATGCAATTGATGTGGCAGAAACGATTGAATAAATAAATAAATGCTTAAGACACCACAAGTATCTAAAGAAAATATTACATTCTCACAGAAAGCTTACTACATTCAGACAAGATTTGTAAATGTAAAAAGAAAACCTTCTGTTTCCACTGTCTCATTTCACTTCAGTGACAGCAGACCACCTCAGGGTGACCCTCTGTTAGTACGAGTACAAGGGCTGTACAGTACAAGGGCTGTAACTTTAAAAAACTATATCAGATCTGATACTCTCTGATACTGACAGAGGGTCACCCTGAGGTGGTCTGCTGTCACTTTTATTTTGAAATGTGCTGCGACACGATGTTAACGTAATGCCTAGAAACGCGCACCGCAAAACAGCGCGAGGGTTGGCTTGACTGCCGTCATTCTGCGTGCAGACCTGCCAAACTGCTGCATTTATATAATGTGTTTATTTCTTTGTTCCTCTCCCTGTGCTGGAGTTATTTTAAGAACTTGGAGGCTTTCTCGAGATTATTATTAAATTGGTTGAATTTGTGTTTGTGTTTTATTCATATAGTGTGTCAAGCTTATTACTTCTATATATTCCCAGCAAATCTGATGTTAATATATAGATTTCACTCACGGATAGACTACTGTATGAATGAGCACTTTAGAGATATAATGATAGTAATTATAATTATATATATATGGCCGGTCTGGTTGTATACTCAGAAAAGACTGTGAAAATGGACGGATTTAGCTGGAGTAGTATTGATTGCAAATTGACAACATATTTCTGTGGTTTTTACATGGTTTGAAATTGTTTGTAGCCCCATGGGGCTTTATAGAAAGATGATAGAAATGATCAAGAGGTGAATTTGTGTATTATACTTTGTCAATTAAAGCAAACCAGGTAACAACTGCGCTGTTTGTTTTCTTTACATCGCCCACTAGAGGGCTGCAGCGCTGCAATAACCAGCCTAGTTCAAATGAACGAAATGACAAATTAGTTCATTTTAACGATGAATTTTTAATGAACGAGATTTGAAGATTGGAGTCTGTCAAAAGAGTCACTTTTACCATCATTACTGATATGGTCTGACATAATAAGATGGCTGATCTATTAAAAATATATTCTATTTAGTGAAATTCTGTTTCTGAGAGTTGCATTCTGAGACACCGCTTATACTGAATATTATATACGGAACAACAGCACCATCTTGTGACCACATGAACTTACATCCTCTTGAATTTGCTGGGCTCATAATATTGATTGGATGACTGCAACTTCTCTGTCTGGCTGTATTGAACACTGTCGTTCTGTGGAACACAAAGCAAAGTCACAGTGAATGGAAATACAATGAGGATATCTTGTCTTTCCATCTCTTGCTTCAATTTGGCAGTTTGCAGGCCTGCCTGATCAAGTGTAAATGCAGTGTGTAGCACTACAACACCACTAACGATCCTTCAACTTTGTCTTAAAACACAGGGTCACAACACAATAAAGCACAGGAGAATTGTTGAGGTGGCTCATGTGGCTAAATGCCTTTTTAAATTACTTTGGCATTTCTCTGTTTACCTTCTCTTTGCCATTGCTTTTGCTATCGTCCCTCTCCCAGGTTGACATATTGTCAGTCCCAAAGGGGGGCTCTAGCAGTTGAAACACTCCAGGGTTTTTCTTCTCTTCAGTGTTAATTAAACTGTTGGGGAGAAAAAAACAGTACAGAGATATGAAATGTATCCTTCACTTATTAATAATAGCTGGAATATATAATGACGAATAATATGACAAAACAGCCATTATGGTGGCTCAGTTTTATTATTATTATCTTTAAAAACTTGTTAATTGTTAAAAACATTCATTGTTAGATTATTAGCGATATGAACAATATTAACAGTCACAGTAGCAGTAGGTGGTAGTAGCAATGGCAGCTAATGTGTAATCATTTGGTAGTATTATTTTCAGTACCATTACAGTAGCAGTACTGACAGCAAGAAGTGTTAGGAGTAATTACTACTAGTCATGGAGGTGGATGTATTTTTTCATCACAAACTGACTACAAGAGTGCATGAAGACAAATGATACCTTGGTTTGTTGTTGTCTTCTAAATCAGTGCTGAACCAGGCTGGAGGTTTGTATGCCTTAGATTTAGAAGTAATTGTTTCCTCATGCCACAAAAGTCCTGTTGAACAAGGATGAACAAATTAATAAAAAACTAAATGTAGGCAAAGTGTATTAACCAGCCAGAGGAACTTGTGTAGATTTAAAGTAAGAGGATAGCTCTACCTTTATGCCCTCCTTGTTTTGCAAGCTTGACATAGTCAGAATCACCCTCTAGGACTCCGGCCCTCCGCCCTCGGGCCCTCTCCTCGGGAACAGTGTTGATAAAGGGGGACAGTCCTGGGATCTGGGAGATCTGGCCGTTTACTCCATCATACCCTGATTAAGTTAAAACACACACATACATGACCACAGCAAAAAAAGAAAAACGTAACGTTAAAGGAAGCATACACACACACACACACACACACATATACAGTGGGTACGGAAAGTATTCAGACCCCTTTAAATTTTTCACTCTTTGTTTCATTGCAGCCATTTTCCAAAAATCAAAAAAGTTCATTTTATTTCTCAGTAATGTACACTCAGCACCCCATCTTGACAGAAAAAAAACAGAAATGTAGAAATTTTTGCAAATTTATTAAAAAAGAAAAACTGAAATATCACATGGTCATAAGTATTCAGACCCTTTGCCGTGACACTCATATTTAACTCAGGTGCTGTCTATTTCTTCTGATCATCCTTGAGATGGTTCTACACCTTCATTTGAGTCCAACTGTGTTTGATTATACTGATTGGACTTGATTAGGAAAGCCACACACCTGTCTATATAAGACCTTACAGCTCACAGTGCATGTCAGAGCAAATGAGAATCATGAGGTCAAAGGAACTGCCTGAAGAGCTCAGAGACAGAATTGTGGCAAGGCACAGATCTGGCCAAGGTTACAAAAACATTTCTGCTGCACTTAAGGTTCCTAAGAGCACAGTGGCCTCCATAATCCTCAAATGGAAGACGTTTGGGACGACCAGAACCCTTCCTAGAGCTGGCCGTCCGGCCAAACTGAGCTATCGGGGGAGAGCCTTGGTGAGAGAGGTAAAGAAGAACCCAAAGGTCACTGTGGCTGAGCTCCAGAGATGCAGTCGGGAGATGGGAGAAAGTTGTAGTAAGTCAACCATCACTGCAGCAATCCACCAGTCGGGGCTTTATGGCAGAGTGGCCCGACGGAAGCCTCTCCTCAGTGCAAGACACATGAAAGCCCGCATGGAGTTTGCTAAAAAACACCTGAAGGACTCCAAGATGGTGATAAATAAGATCCTCTGGTCTGATGAGACCAAGATAGAACTTTTTGGCCTTAATTCTAAGCGGTATGTGTGGAGAAAACCAGACACTGCTCATCACCTGTCCAATACAGTCTCAACAGTGAAGCATGGTGGTGGCAGCATCATGCTGTGGGGGTGTTTTTCAGCTGCAGGGACAGGACGACTGGTTGCAATTGAGGGAAAGATGAATGAGGCCAAGTACAGGGAGATCCTGGACGAAAACCTTTTCCAGAGTGCTCTGGACCTCAGACTGGGCCGAAGGTTTACCTTCCAACAAGACAATGACCCTAAGCGCACCGCTAAAATAACGAAGGAGTGGCTTCACAACAACTCCGTGGCGGTTCTTGAATGGCCCAGCCAGAGCCCTGACTTAAACCCAATTGAGCATCTCTGGAGAGACCTGAAAATGGCTGTCCACCAACGTTTACCATCCAACCTGACAGAACTGGAGAGGATCTGCAAGGAGGAATGGCAGAGGATACCCAAATCCAGATGTGAAAAACTCGTTGCATCTTTCCCAAAACGACTCATGGCTGTATTAGATCAAAAGGGTGCTTCTACTAAATACTGAGCAAAGGGTCTGAATACTTATGACCATGTGATATTTCAGTTTTTCTTTTTTAATAAATTTGCAAAAATTTCTACATTTCTGTTTTTTTTCTGTCAAGATGGGGTGCTGAGTGTACATTACTGAGAAATAAAATGAACTTTTTTGATTTTTGGAAAATGGCTGCAATGAAACAAAGAGTGAAAAATTTAAAGGGGTCTGAATACTTTCTGTACCCACTGTATATGCTTCAAATGAACTACACTACCCCATGCACAAGTTCTAAGTTACCCCGGCAGCATCTTCTCACCAGGATCCAGCAGGATAACGTTAGTCTCTCTGCAGACATTGGCTACAAACACTACAACGTCAGGTAACTAACGCTAAACTAACGTTAAGTCAGTATAAACAGTTGTACTTGCCAGCTTGTGTCGCCAGGAGATCGCTACTCATGAGAACTGAAGAATTTCTGGTGGAAATGGAAACAAAACCCGGCAAACTGTCAACCTCTTCAACTACAGCTTAAACGAGCGAACATTGTCATTAGCATCTACAAACGAACGCTAAATTAACTTTGACGTCGGTGGGCTAACGCTAAGTTAGCTAATCGATGTTAACGTTAATTTACCTAAATGAAACACAAATAACGTAAAGGTAGTAATTTGTCTACAGGAAATAAAGTTCATAACAAAGTAAATGTCCCTTTTTAAATTCAGGTGGGTTTTTTTTCCACTTACCCTGAATACATTTTGAAGCAAAGTAAGAGACTGCTGTACGGAGCACTGACTGTTTGGAAGTTGTGACTGCGTTGCTGTGGAAACGTTGTTGGATACAGTGTGGTAGAAGAACTGGAGTAGAGTTTCTTCTGGACTCGACGCCATTGTAAGCTTGTTAGGTGTTATACGTATGGCCGCGAGAAAAATTGTTTTATTAGCTGTCAGGTTAATAATAATAAATAATAAACTTAGGCGGCGTATGAGCAATGTTTTGTGATCAAAATAAAAATTAAAAGCAACACATTATCATCACATAACTTATATTTTTTTTCGTAATAATGTCCCCAGTGGTAGAATACATTCAAAACGTTTAAGTTACTCAAGTAAAAGTTGTAGGCTAGTACAACGTTTTAAAAAAAAAAGTAAAGTAAGTAAAAGTCATGGTTTAATATCTTTCAACCAGTAAAAGTACAGAACATTTCAGAATGATGTATATTTTGTAAGATTATCATTACAAGGTAAATTAGTGGTCATATTACAACAGGGTTGTAAGATGAGATGCAGTGTTGAATGCTGAGCTGAAATCCACAAACATCATTTAGATGTAGGTGTTTTTTTAAGGTGTGTGAGGGTTGAGTGGAGGGCAGTGGAGGTGGAATCCTCTGTGGATCTGTTGTTTCTGAATGCAAACTGGTGATGTGTCCAGCTCTGGCTTCGATGTTGGTCTTTATGTGCTGGAAAACCAGTTTCTCAAAGCCCTTCCTCAGAATGGAGGTCACTGCAGACTTTTTAGTTACATGGACGATGTGGGGTGTCTTGATGCAGGTGGGAACAATCGCCTGTGACAATGATGTGTAAATAACATCAACTAGCTGATTGGTACAGGTTAGATTAGGCTATTGATTAGGCTATTGATGCAATAATGTGTGAGCATCACTTTAATGTTGCAACCATAGTCTGTAAAAGAAACTGGCAAATGAAGAGTGGGGCTAATTTGTAATGGTTTTAGGAGTAATGGTTTAAATAAAACACTGATGCACTGCACACTGAGAAAAGATGGATCTCTAGAAGGTCTTTGTAGAAGAAGTGACAGAGTTATTACAGTGAAATTAGACGTCTACTTTAATGCAAATGTGCCTAGCCAGTTATGTGGTTTTATTAGATAAATGAGGATGTGTTCACTGTGCTAATATAGTTGGCTCTTAATTGCTTTTTAGCCAAATCGCATTGAGAACTTTAACTGCGATTTAATGCTTAACGATGTGGTTTTGTTATTAAATAAACTGAGTATGTATTTTAACCTAACCTAACCTTAATTCTTCTTTCACCCATAGGCCGTAATAAGCTGTCCAAGCACAGTTGTCTTATCATAATCAATAAAAAGAATTAATGACAAAGTCTGTACTGTAGCCTAAGTGACAGAATAATACAATTATCTATTTAGGTAAATATTGTATTAATAGGATAACCTTTTTGAAACACACCTTGAAATGATTTGATACACTTTTTTGTGCTTTGTTTTAAAACTGATTTTTATTGCTCGAAATATGCCCCCCAAAACTTGCACCCTTCACTTCTTGAATGCTGAGTCAGGAACATGCTCAGATAAAATGAAAAAGCAATGGTCCTTGAATTACTGGGCATGTCAAGGTAGCCAGCAGAATAGGCATGTGACAGGAAATGTACGCTTTTGCTTCAGCATAAAAGTGCTGTGTCTGGCTGGAGACTATCTGGATCATCAGATGATGATGATCCAGGCTTCCACTAGCCCACCTTTCAGAAGGAAATGTTGTTGGCTGCTTTTTATTCCACTACATTTGACATTGTAGTATGACTCTGTAGTACTCTGGTTTTACATATAAAACTTGCAATCAGATTATATAAATGGTTAAAAAGACTCAATTATAAAGCAAGGCTGAGGCTGTGGAGTCATCACAAAGTAAATAAAACGACATACAAAGTAGGCCCACAAGTGTAGGCTATAAGTGTTATTTGCACAGTACAAAATATTTTAATAAAAATACCTTGTCAAAAACTCTGTCAGTAGCATTGTGTTTCTACTTTGCATGACTTATGAGACCCAATCAGAGAGTCAAACTTGAGCGTCTGCCTCATCGTTTCTAAAGTCATCCATTTTTGCCCGCCTTCACTAAAACGCACTCTGGAGTTTCAAAATGAAAAAAGGGGTTAACAGCGTTTTCATACTTCACCGTTTAAGGTGTTTGTTTTCACCCTTTTAGTCTGGACGGGAGGTGCAAACGTAGCAAAAGTTCTCCGTTTTAAAACGAAAATGCAGTATTGTGGATTACCAACAAGGCAAAGGAGGGCCCTCAAACTTATTCAGGTGAAATTTTCTTTGGGAATATCACTACTAAAGCACAATATCAGTTTCCATGATAAAGACCTTTAAGTTGGTTCTGTTTTACTACTAAATATTGAAGGACCGTATGTCAAAATCTATGCTATTTCAGTTTGTGCTCACATGTTGCATATTTCTTAATTGATTTGTGTTTGCCCAAATCAAACTACCACACAACACAGGGCCCTTTGCAGTATTAGACAGGAATTTTGAACATAGTTTGTAAATTAGTTGTAATTAGTAAAATGCTGCTTGCACATTATCACAATGGTGGTAATACACTAATATGTGGTGAGTGGCCATTCTGAATAATCAGCACTTTGACTTTTGAAACTTAAGTACATTTAGCTGAAGTGGTGGCAGGAATATTCAGATCCCATACCTGGTAAAAGAAGCAATACCACAAAAATAACAAAATAGCAAAAAAATTAATAAAATATACTCCATTAAAAGGCCTGCATTGAAAATAGTAATTACGTACAGAATTATTATTAGCCAAACATTTTATACTTTTTATTATACTATTACATATTATATATTGATTTATTATTACTGATGGATTCATGTGTAAGTAGCATATTTTTGTTGTTGGTCAATGCCTATACGTGGCTAGTTTACGCTTAAACAGTTTATCATATTTTCTAGGGTCATGATGTGTTTTGCATGTAAAATCTTAATTTTTACACTAACTAGTAACTAAAACTCTCAAATATTTGCAGCGTTTAAAAATAACTATATTTCCCCTTTAAATGTATGTAGCAGTATTAAATAAAATACTGGAATAAATACTGAAGTTAAGTACTTCAGAAATGTACTTTGCTTTTGTTTTGCTGACAATACTTTTGCCTTTAAAGATAAATGCAGAACTTTTACTTGACTACCACAATGCAGCATAGTATTTCTACTTTTACTTAAATTGCCTGGATTCCTCTTCGATCCCTGGGAGTAACAAAATTAAAAGAAAGTTTTAATTTGAAACGTCTAACCGGAAGAGTCTGTAAGTATCGTCTCGCTTAATGCTGGTTAATTACAGTGAGTTGTAGCAAGGTAACTTCCTCCAATCCTGGCTTCTTTTTTTTTGCCTTCGGGGATTGGGGTGCGAGTTGTGAAGCCTAGACAGTCCCTGATGTGTGAAGAGAGACAACGTTACAGCATGTGTCTTGCTTTTTTCTCTCTCCTAAATACGAACATCGAGTGAATGTATCACTTTTTCCTTTTCCACCGAGCGAACGGCGGACGATAATGTTGGCGTCATGTAGGCTCTGCCTTTCAGACTTTGGAAAACAAATCGGGTATTGTCGGTGAATTCTCGGGAGATGGCAGAATAACGTTAGTTCGACCTGCGCAAGCTACGGAGCCCTCAAAAAAGCACTTTGAAAATAACTCGCAAGGTAAGTTTAAACATGACGTGCCTAAAATGTCTGTAATATTACCGTCTGCATTGTAATGTGGGTATAGACGTTTTGGTGGACGTGGAGAAGTTTGCTGATTTGCAGGTACATTTTTCGCGACGTGTTCATAAGAAATCCTCCCTCTGAGCTTTTTCGCAAAATCTTGGCCTGTTAAAGCAGCCACACATATTTTATTTACCTTCAGGTCGTGTGAACAAATCTACACAGCAGCAGCCTGTATAGCCTGTTATTGTGAGTGGCCGCGTCAGAGAGATGTTTTTGGTTAGTTGTTGACAAATGGTGATGAGCTCTAGGCCAAGGGACAGAAATTAAACGTCTCGCGTCAACCATTGCGGCTTTTCGTGGTTGTAATTTCTATTTCTCAATCAAATCAAGTTCCCAACATTGCAACTAGTTGCGACTTTGGTAAGAGTGTTTTTTTTTTGTCTTGCAAACAGTGTTTGGGAGGGTCGTTCCTGCTTGATCGTGTGTCTCATCATCCCAAGCTGAGCACTTTTAACATCACAATCGTAACCCTGGACGGCGGGGGGTGTCACACTGGAGAACACACAGCATGGTTTACAGTGGTCTGTGGTTTAATTTGGAATTAGTTGGCGACGAAGACACGCGTGAATCTCACCAATATAGTTCTTTAACAAGATGCAACAGTATTTGTTGACATGCTTTTCCCTTGCTGAGAAACAATCAGGCCAAACAGGAAATGGTATGTGAGAAGAGTGTGCAGGGCAGTTACATGTAAAGCCAATAGACCTGCTGATGAGAGGATGCAAACTTCATTACAGAGGTGTTAATGCTGGCTGAAAACATTCGGAGATAATTGTGCAGATTAAAAGATGTGTGAATGGGAATGTCTCACACTGGAGTGTTCTTCCTTCAGAATCAACTCAGTGTGCTAGACCCTCACTCTCACAAATTCCCACATACTAATCACGTTTTCCTTCACTAGCAGCCCAAAATGTCTGGGGGAACACTTTATTGTGCATTTGTTTTCGCTGCACAGCCCAGCCAGCCTTTTTAATTTCGTGATACCTCCAGTTGACTACCATTTCATGTATAAGCATGACAATCATGACATGACAAGACGTATGGTTTAACAGTGTCTGGCACGGGAAACTGTTTAATCAGTATGGATTAGCCATTTAAAATGAGTTGAAGCTGTAACACATGAACTGTTCCTAGGACTTGAAAAGAGAGTTAGAGATACACAATGGTTGTCAATGTCAATGATTTATTTCCTTAGGAACTGGATGGAGAGGTTCTGGAGATTTAGTGAAGTAAATCCTGTGACAGGATCAATGGAATCACAGTCGAGGTTATTTGTTTTTGTTAGTGGCTGTGTGTTTGT